TACAAAATATAAAACACAAAAATACAAAATATAAAACACAAAAATACAAAATATCAAACACAAAAATACAAAATATCAAACACAAAAATACAAAATATCAAACACAAAAATACACCGAACTAAATAAAATATCAAACACAAAAATACAAAATATAAAACACAAAAATACAAAATATCAAACACAAAAATACAAAATATAAAACACAAAAATACAAAATATAAAACACAAAAATACAAAATATAAAACACAAAAATACAAAATATAAAACACAAAAATACAAAATATAAAACACAAAAATACAAAATATAAAACACAAAAATACAAAATATAAAACACAAAAATACAAAATATAAAACACAAAATGTAAAATACAAAAGTGGTTTTATGCTGTCGCCTCTGGGCTTCCGTATAGTTGGGTTCCAATGGGTGTTTGTATATGCTGAGTAATGAGTAATGGATTTTCGTATACTTACATTAGAAAAATAAACCATGAAAACATTGACAGTGGTTCTATACTCACTCTCTGCCGTGAATAAGTATAATGCTGTGACAGTGTCAGGAGTGTAAACTTAAGCCCGCCGCACACGAGCGCACTTGTCGCGCGTACTTGTTATTCGTGACAAGTTGGATCGACAGAATTTAATTCCTCGTGTGCGGGCAACATTTACGGCATTTTCGTCATTCGTGACATGTAAACCAAACATCAAACATGTTTGATATTTTTCGTCATTCGTGACAAAAAAATTCTCGTGTGCGGGGAGCAAACGACAAGCGCGCCTGAATAGGAAAATTTGTGCATGCGTGCAACTTGCAGAATTATAAACAAGACACGACCTCGTGATTTTGATCCGCCATGTTGTTTTTAATTCTGCAAGTTGCACGCATGCGCAAATTTTCCTATTCAGACGCGCTTGTCGTTTGCTCCTACGAAAAATATCAAACATAAATGTCACGAATGACGAAAATGCCGTAAATGTTGCCCGCACACGAGGAATTTTGTCGATCCAACTTGTCACGAATAACAAGTACGCACGACAAGTGCGCTCGTGTGCGGCGGGCTTAATAATATGATAAAATAAATATCAATTGATCAAATATGGTCACAATTTCGCTATAGCATATTCGTTTCTAGCGTGTCTTATATCAACCAGTTCAGCCTTTAAAACGATTGTCGACATATACTTACCTGTAAAATACTCATTAATTTTATAATAATTCATAAACCTTGTGGCAAATCATGTCAGCCATAATCAGGTCACGTGGAGTGACTTTATATCTGATAAAGCATGCGGCATTATATAACTGAATTGTTCATCCTAAATCATTAGTATATGATTATAAGCCCCGTTTACACTACGCTCAATTTTTGGTACGGCACGGATAAAATTGGTACCCGTACCACTTTTTTGGTTCTTCGACTACCTATTTAGGTAGTCCAAGAACCAAAAAGTGGTACGGTACCAAAAATTGAGCGTAGTGTAAAACGGGGCTTAGCTAAATAGGCCGTCCAAGAACCAAAAAAGTGGTACGGGTACGGCCAATTTTATCCGTGATGTACCAAAAATTGAGCGTAGTGTAAACGGGGCTTATATAATAATGGTTCATCCTAATTAGTATTCTTTTGTAGTCGTATTTTAAGCTATTCAAAACACTCGTTGTCGTACGATAAAACACTCCTACTCGTGTAGGAGTGTTTTATGTCTGTTTTATGTCGTACAAACGTAGTGGAGTTAAACCAACCGATAATTAATATTTAAAATGTTATTTTACGTTTTTTTCATTAAACGAATTCATTTCACTTCACTGCCTGGTACTGTCTATTTCGAGCATTGACATGCCCAATATCAATTTTCGAGCTGTAGTAAACAAAGGGGAAATCCCGCTTATGGGGGGTTGGTCCATACATTAGCATAACCTAACTTATGCGAGGCCTCCAGAGAAAACTAAAAGCGCTAAAGACAAGCTGATTTTTTTAAATAATGTGTAATTTATCAGTGAAGAATGAAAAATAATATTTAAGGGATATGTTAATTTTTGGCTGAGATAGAGCGTTTTTAGTATGCTGACTTGTCGACTGACCTGCGGTAAGTGTCAATATGTGGCGGTTCGACGACTTGTCTTGTGCAAGCTGTTCAGTCAAAGTTTAAATCGGTATAAGCTTAAAAATAATCTCATATGATGCGAATATTATGGGTAAAGAATGAAAAAAAAAATTATGACGATAAAGAAACTTGTGGCAGAGAATGAGCGTTTTGAATCGCTAAGCGGCACGCGTGTTTGCAGTCTCCATCAATATGTCGCTGTGCGATGACATAACTTATGCGAGGCCTCCAGAGAAAACTAAAAGCGCTAAAGACAAGCTGATTTTTTTAAATACTGTGTAATTTATCAGGGAAGAATGAAAAATAATATTTAAAGGATATGTTAATTTTTGGCTGAGATAGAGCGTTTTTAGTATGCTGACTTGTCGACTGACCTGCGGTAAGTGATCTATGTGGCTGTTCGACGACTCGTCTTGTGCAAGCTGTTCAGTCAAAGTTTAAATCGGTATAAGCTTAAAAATAATCTCATATGATGCGAATATTATAGGTAAAGAATGAAGAAAAATATTATGACGATAAAGTAACTTGTGGCGGAGAACGAGCGTTTTAAATCGCTAAGCGGCACGCGTGTTTGCAGTCTCCATCAATATGTCGCTGTTCGGTGACATAACTTATGCTAGGCCTCCAGAGAAAACTAAAAGCGCTACAGACAAGCCGAATGCTTTAGGTGATGTGCAAATTATCAGTGAAGAATGAAAAAATTTATTATAGCGTTACATTTATTCCTTACGACGATACAGAGATTTAGATAGGAACTAACCGTGTCTTGCTCAAGATTTAATTGACCCGACACGGTTTGGCGACTTGACTTATGCAAGCTGTTTAGAGCAATCTAGAAGCAGTAGCGACTCAGGGATTGCGTTATATGATAGTCCTTTTCTTGAAGAAGAATGAAAAAAATTATTGTTAAGATGGGTGAAGGCTTTGTGGAGTTAGAGCCATTCGAACACGAACGCCATGCCTCTGGCTCCAGATTCAATCTGAAACTGGAGCTGCGAATCTGAAACTGGAGCTGACTGGCTTCTCGTTTGGCTCAAGCATCGATATGTGATTCAGTGAGACGCAGTCTATTCAAGTATAACTCTACCGTGGTCAAGCGCTTTTACCCTTCTGGTGGACAAAGGAATACGTTGGCTCAACCGATGAAGTTAAATGAAACCGCCGCTGGGGGAATTATAACAAGATCGAGAGGCTAAACACGAATTCAACAAGCGTCATTTGATATCATTCGTATATCAATGTATTTATGTATGCACATGCATTTGGTGCGTAAGTATGCGGTTAATTCACACGTTTGCTTCGTATTTCGCTTTTCAAAACAACCGAAATGCTTTTACTTTATCTATTTTATCACAGAATTCGGGTATAGTAATTGTCGAACGCCAAATGTATCGACTATTCACGCTAAATCGATCTCTATTTCAATGTCAATTTTATTACCATCTTGAGTTTATTAACCGGCCAGATTGGGCCTCTCATTCGGGGATTGCATGGGTTTCAATAAAGCGTCACATTAAACTGTATTCAATCATTCAAAAGTGGATTAAATAAAACTTCCTTTCTAGCTATATCAGGGCACTCTTTAATAAAACAAACACTAATTTGACCCGTATACATTATCAATACTTTACTGGACAAAACATAGGAAATCAAGTTCATATGTGAGAGAAATTTAGGATCTACTTTATCTACATTTGCGATAAATCGGCAAGTTGGATGTCACGAAAGACTGGTACGTACAGACTGCGGTACAGTGTATGGTATGTCGCTACGACGCTACTCATAAAAATTCATTAATGTCTCATGACTATACTGCATAATCTTTTTAGTCTACCAAATACATATTCTTACAATTTCTGCTACTCTCATGCATGCATGATTGCATGTTCAATCACAACACTGTGGTTATAAACACCTACGTGTAAATTGCATTTTGATCCTGCTATTTTAAAATATTGAACAAGCTATTTTTCTGAGATTAAAGTCACATAATTCGAGAATTATATTATGTCAAGTTCCACCAATCATAATTCAAATAAAATAAGTGGGGTTAACAAATACATGTTGCAAAATTGTTAACGAACATATTGACATTAAAAATAAATAAATCGTAAGGAAAACAAAACAAAAACAAAAACAAAAAAAATGATAGTGAGCACTTGTAAGATAGAAGCTTTGTGGGGAAGCTGCTGGTTGTCTTGGCCCCATCCAGGTTTCCTGTAATGATATTGCAGGTTTTTCCTGGCCTCCCTGATGTTCCAGCTGTAGTATGAGTGATGGTAATGCTCAAATATATGTCTTACTATCAACTTAGTAGTTAAAAAAAATAAATTGTATATAACATGATTTTAATCAATTCATTTTAAAGTGTGTCGAAAGAGAAATATAGACGATATGACTTCGAAAAGCACAAAGATCATCTGTCAGAAGCTGTCTTCTATACGATTACAGTTGTGGTGAGAGTTGGGTTTTTTCGTCTATGGGGAATACACATGCTGTGTATTTGTGGGGATGGAGTGCTCCCAAAGGTCGCCCTCAACCCCATAGACTCACACAAATCAATGTATTATACAGTGTATTGTAAAGTAAACAATGACCATCACGGGGATCTACTATCCCTTGGACATTAAAGTAAACAATGACCATCACGGGGATCTACTACCCCTTGGACATTAAAGTAAACAATGACCATCACGGGGATCTACTACCCCTTGGACATTTAGGATGCCCATCTCGGGGATCTACTACCCCTTGGGTAAAGTCCAACATGGGGGAACGACGACCCCCCTGAGGACATATAATTATATCATAATCATATTGCTGTAATACTGAGTCTGTGGGGCGACACTTTGGCCACAGTTTAAAGTATAATCGGAGAATTTCTCCTCGACAACCCTTCTCCCACAACATTGTGCGTGTCATAGTTGTTTTCTTAATTGTCTTAGAATATTTGCTTAACGAATTGGTGCATTAATAACAGAATAGCGGTTAACAATGGACCATTTGCATTATAGACTACATTTTGATCTAGATATGCCTGGACAAAAATTTCATCACGGCTTGAAAGAGCATCACAAAATTAGTAATATTCCAAAGTTTCGTTGCGAAATGTTGTAAAATGCGGACAATATAGCCTTGCGAAGTTTGCCGTTTTTCAGTCATTTTGTACTAAGCAAGGGAAATTGACAGCCCAATCGGGTGTTGGGGCATCAATTTCCCGTTTGTAATACAAAATGACTGAAAATTGCAAATTTCGCAAGGCTATATTATCCGCATTTTACAACATTTCGCAACAAAACTTTGGAAT